ATATATATATATATATATATATATGTATATAAAACCATCTCCTTTTTCTCTTTTTGGTCTGTCTCTTGTTTTTCTCAGGCTGGTTGAAGGAAAGAAGGGGGTAAAAGTGGAAAACAGACCTTTCCTCTCCAAACTCATCTTCCTCAACGTCTCTGAACATGACTATGGGAACTACACGTGTGTGGCCTCCAACAAGCTGGGCCACACCAACGCCAGCATCACACTGTTCGGTGAGACGGAAGCCCAGGCTGGGCAACGAGAGAGGGAGGGGCGTGTGGAGGAGGGGGGCAGGAGGGAAGGGCAGTGCAGCGGGGGCGTGGAAGAGAGTCAGGGGTAGTTAGGCAGGGTGGGTGAGAAGCGGTGGGTGAGAGGGGGAGAGGGAGAGAGAGAGAGAGAGAGAGGGAACCAGCACACGTATGAAAGTAGACACCAGGTGTCATTCTATACTAGGAAGAATCCTGATATCAGAGAAAAGGATTTGAGGATACTGAAGTGACATTGCATTTTTCCCCTCAGTATCTTCTGAACTGACTGTGGTTATTACAGTTAGGTCTAATAGTCAAGAGCCCAGAGAGGAACATGCACTATTTCCATACTTGTTCCCTTGATGAGTGTGAAATGTTACCATTTCTGAAACTTTTTCTGGCCATTGGGACATAAGAGAAACTGCATTGTATTTATAAAAGTAGAATCATGGGCCTTGGGATCCTGAAAGCTATTAGTGCTAGAGGAAGAATTAACATAGAAAATGACTGTTTCCCGAGTTCTCCATTTGTGTCCAAGGGTGTTGTCTGAAGGGATCTGTCCAACCAAGCCCCCATCCGGACAGAATTCCCATAATCATTCATGCATTAATTCATTCAGTCACTATTTATTGAGGACTAATGTGTGCAAGGCAAACTGCTGTGCCTTCATTACATATCCGGCAACTGTACTGGTGCCAGAAACAAGGAAAGGAAGCAAGTAAACAAGCTGCCTCTTAGACCCCGATGTCTCGCACTTCTGTGGGTAGAATAGCTGCACAGAAGTGAGTCTGGATGCCCGAGCCTCATCTGGCATCTGTGATGGGTTCCATCCCTGGGTAGAGGCAGATTCTCCCCACAGCCCACAGGGTCAATCTCTGGTTGCTTTGGGGGCAAATCCCTCCAGGCCCCAACAAGTTCGGTTAGCTTGGAATTTTTCAAGTCCACCATGTTAACAAGCACTCTTGAAAGTTACAGGGAGGGAAAGGTGAGGAAGTTAGCAGAAAATTGACAGGAACCTAAATCCTTTTTATTCTGAGGACCCCCCAGATAATTCCAGAGATTCAAGTAGCGCCCCTCCCCCTGCCCTGCCAAATCCTCTCCATGGCACAGTGGACCCAGCCTGCCCCGATAGCCCACCTGTGGTGCTCCACTGTCCCATCTCGATTTCCAAATCACATTCCATTCCCCTTTTACCCAGCATGTAAAATAAAGCCCAGCTTTATCCAGGAGGGCTGGGAAGGGGAAGCCTGCCCTTGATCCCAGAGCTGGCAGACGCGAATGGGCAGAGCTGTGATTAGAGTGATTGATGTGTCTCACGCCTCCCACACAGGGCCAGTCGTCATGGCCCCTCACATTTGTCAGCCTTTTGGCTTTTTGGCAGGTGTCTGTCTGCAGGAACAGAAGGACCATGGTTAGGAAGGGGCAGCCCCCTCCTTCCCTTGCCTTGCAAATCCAAGGTTCCCCCCGAGTTCCCTGCTCGCCACCCATAGCCTTCCTCGTTTCTGTAAACAATCTCCCTCCTCCTCTGACCTCTTTGCTCTTCCAAATCAGATGCATGAAATGGTTTTGCAATTGGCTTTATCACTGCTAATTCCCCGGCCTCTTCCCCTTAAGCCATCTAAGATGAGAAGAGAGAGAAGAAGCAGACTTTAAGAGTGAAATCCTGGCATTTGTGACAAGCAATGCAGTGAAGCATGTGCCATAAATCTGCTCCTTTCCGCAGACCCGTGTTTGGCAGTTAAAACCTCTGCCCGCATCCCCACCGGTCTGTCAGCATTCATGTCACCCTGTGTATCATTTGGGACAGTCCTACAATTGCCAGCTTTCTGGAGTACAGGGGGCTCTACTAAAAACATGTTAAAAACTGATAGTATGGATTCAGATAAGTTTAGAAAGCCTGGGTCCAACAAAGATGAACAAGGTCCATGTGGGAATGTTCTTTAACATGGGAGGTCTCAGAGCCTTTACAGACTAAATCTCTAAGAGGCAGAAAAAGTTTGGAGCATTTTTCCAAATTTAATCAAACAGAAACCAAGTTTTTAGCCTCATTTGAGAGATCATTTCTGAGGAGCCCATCACAGCACTGCCACCTGGGTGGCGTAGTACAACGAGGCTATGAAATCCCGCTAACGGGCAAGATGGGCGTTTCCACCGCATCGGCTCTGCTGTGGCTGGTCCACAGAGCGCGGCCCCTAAACTCTCACCACCCCCTATCAGTAAGACCTCTTGACAAATATAAATGTATTAGGGAGTTTCCCATGTCATTTCCTATTATCAGAAGACTCGGCTCAGAGCCATCAAGCCGACTTGAGCAGGTTGGAAAGCAGCTTTTACTTTATGCGAATATACTTTGTGATGAAGGTCATTCTCCTGTAGCATCAGAGAGCTGTGGCTAAATTAGCATCGTTTTGCCACCAGCCTGCACATAAGCTGTACACATGACCTGACGTTGAAAAGTGAGGGACGCTGGTGCTAGGAGATTCCCATCAGGGTCAGGGGTGGTCCTTCCTATCAGGAACCAGTAGGGTTCTGAGCACCTTGTCCCTAAGGTTCCAGAGGCTGCAGGGGACCAGGAGAGTTCAGCCCCTGTGATCCTGAATCACAGAGGTTCCTGGGAGGACCTTGCTCCTGCCATGGTGCCATGAGGACCAGAAATTCCTGAACTAGGTCTTCCAAAATGAAACAGTGTGGGTGTGGATGTGACACAGATCTCATCTGGAAAGGGACTTTGGTCCTGTGTTACCAAATCAGCACCCCAGCTCAGCACAAACCCAGAGTCCACGCTCCCTGCGCTGGGGTGCGTACGCATGGCCAGCCCCTCACCTTCCGACCACGGCATCCTGTGTGCACGCACCCCACCTTTCAGCGTTCCTCATGCTGCATCTTGTCCTACCACCTCTGGTTTTTGTGTCTTCTTTTGTTACTCCATCCCTCCAGAAATGTGTGTGAAAGACAGTATACAAACTATATATGGCCAATATATAGCTACTGTATATAATATATGTGTTTGTTTTCATTTTTCTCTCCTGTATATCCCCACCTGCTTTAGAGCTAAGTGAGCCTACAAGCTCAACTTTGTTACAAGGTCAGTATCCCACCCACCCCTGCTGTCTGGTTTCTTTCCTCCCCGCTTTCTCCCAGACCCCCCTCCCCACCCCCTGCCGTGCATCACCCAAGGCTCCTGTCTGTACAGGTGCTTAGTGAATGGCAGCAGAAGCTAAGGAGGTTACTGGGAGCCGATGAAACTCCAGGGATAGCCCCCTTTTCTCTGCTCACCTTGCCCACCTCCCCAGAAGGGCTAGGAGTGGAGAGGAAAGTAAATGGCACTAACTTCTCAAAGCCCGGAGATCTGCTGGAGGCAAAAGCCTGAACCAACAGGCAGAGAAGTTCACCCACTGAGCAGTTTTCATAACAAGAGTCCCGTTGACAGCCTAGCCATAGAAGCAAACATCCTGTGCAGGGAGATTCGGGTGGTCCTGAAGCTGCAGCAGCAGGTTCACGGGGAGGGTCTCCGGGAAAGAAAGGTGGGCAGGCATACCTGTGGGATCCTCGGCAGCAGTGACCTGGAGCGGGCGCCACTAAGCTCTAGTCCAGAGCTGCACTTCTGGGTGTTCTTTGCACTTGGGCAGCTCAGGAAACATCGCTCAGACTCAATTTCCTCTTCTGTGACATAGAACTGATCTGCCTTATCTATCTGAGAGCTGTTCCAGCCTTCAACTGAGAGCATGTATTAAAAAGGCTTTGAAAATCGTCAGGTGCACGTTAGATTGTTGGAGTCCAGTCTCCGGATACAGGGACCTCCACATGTCACGACACAGGGGTTCATGAACTCATTTCTCAAGCCCTCTCCCCATCCCCTTTCCACCTCTTCTACTCCAAGTCCTCCCCCCATAGGACACCTGCATCTCTCACCTCTTTTTACTCAGCCCTTCACATTTTCGTAAGCTCCCTAGCCTAGCAAAAGTGATTCATTTAGACTGTGACTAAACATTTGGGCAGGAGTGGGCCCAGGCTGAGTGGTAGAATCAAACACGTGCTGTGTGTGCTGTTTATGTTTTCCTCCTAAGGACTGTGCAGACCCTCAGAGAGCCCCACAGGAAGGCAGCTGTGACAACAATGACGGGAATGTCTTTTCCCACCTTGCACCTACCCTCCGACCCTTCTCATCCCACCTGTTCATCCATTCGCGTTGCACAGTCATCGGGCGATGGCGTTAGACTTGGAAGGCGGGGGAGGGGATGGAAGAAAATGAATTATATGGGAAGCTGTTTGACATATGAGGAAGAATGCTTTTATCGTGAAATGATTCAGGGATGCATTATTCACCTTAGTGATGTAGGGCACCCTGGTGATAGACCACAAAGGGGAAAATGAAACAAAGAAACAGAAAAAAAGTGAAGTCAGTGGAAGTGTCCAGGTTCAACTTGATCCAACTTACGTTTATCGAACCCCTGGGCAAGGCGTATCTGCAGATCTCAAAGAGCGTTAGAAAAGTAGCTAAGGGCATAAATGGTAAAAGGGATGTGTGAGAGACAGGACGTAAAGCAGAAGATGCTTCACAAGGGACTTTGAGAAGTGACTCAGCTCATTCTGATCAGTGAGATCTTTACTCTCAGAGGGAAAGCGACTTTTAAAACAGGGAGTGGTTGCTAAGGAGTTAGAATTCCACCGAAGGTGCCCTCAAGGGTTGGAGGGGGCACGTCCCACGCTAAAGCCAACAGTAACAAAACTGATCGGAAACAAACAAATCACTACCTGATACTGAGCATGGGACCAGGAGCAGAGGATCCACCTGCTGACGCAGAGCTGAGCATTCTCACCTGCTCTGCTGGCCACTGAGTCTGGGGCAGGGTCTGCAAGCCAGCTCTCTACTCTGATTCTACTGTGCTCCCACCCTTCACCTTCTTGTTGGGTGCAGGGCAATGGGTCCAGGCCAGAAGTTGCAGTTGGTGGAAACCTGGAACATTCCAAGACGTGGATTAGTGTGGTCCTCCGTGTAGCTGTTGGACTCTTGTACAGCTCAGGAGTATTTTAGAGAAAACAGATCTCGCTCCTGGGATATTTCTCATTCATCTGTGTGTGTGTGTGTATGTGTGTCTGTGTGTGCGCGTGCATGCGTGTGTGTGTGTGTGTGTGTGTGTTGTTTTTTCCTCCTCCTTTTCTAGCGTCCCATAGAATAGAGAGCTACCTCTTTTCTCAGGGAAATACTCCCAGGTTATGCTCCCCTCACCTCCAGTGGATTTCCACGGACAAGGAACGCTTGGCTTTAAGAGACATTCCAAGCTGTTTTGCTACTTAATATTCGGATGGTCTAGAAAGATTCAGATAAGAGAATTTCACTCCTTCTCAGCATTTTCTGCCACCCTTGAAGTATTTCTCTGCTCCCTTTTTGCAAACACAACAGATTGCATGCCCCCCTCTCATATTAATATCTGGTGGTGCAGGACTCTTGCCGTGATAACTAAGGACTCAGGGATACACCGCCATCCCTCACTCCCTACTTCACAGGCATATGTGCCAGGGGCACAGTGCAAACTCAGCGGCTCGGTGGCTGTTCATTTCCCATCCTCTGGTCCTTTGTCTTTTATCTCCTGGGCAAGGAGTCAGATTTGGCGGTATCAGTGGGCTGGGAAAGGTTGGCTGATTAATGCCTGCGAACCTTGCAGTGACCATCAAATCATCTTATTAAAGAAGATGGAAGTAAGTCAACTTTGTGCATCGGAAGGAAACAATTGCAGTGGCAGAGATGATCTGTTTTTAGAGACACACTGAGCTGCTTTGCAGAAATTCCAATATGTACCCAAAGGATTATCACAGATCTATAGAGGGTATTACTATGTATATTCGTTGCTTGCCCTGCAAAAGACTGAGCCTTTCAGCAAATCTTCATGAAAAACAGCAGAGCTCCTGTATTTAGGCAACGCTGAGGATTGTTTAATAATAGGTGTCACCTTGCACTTCACTCCAAGAGTTTTTGAAATGCATTTCCTCCTGAATTTCAATGGTTCGAATACGGATATGCAGTGCGACTGTATTTATGCTACTTGAAAGATAGTTAATTAAGGGCAGACACCCAGCAGTGAGCATTTCTATGGCACGTGTGTCTAAATACAGAAGGTACCAAAAAAGATCCCTTCACGCCGTTTCTGGAAGGTTTATTTGTCCCGTATAACCATCCTGGTGTGAAACCAGCCCTGCCCCACCCATTAGAATCAGCACCCCTTTGCCCACCTAGGCACTTGGATTCAGCTGGGCTTGGTGGCAGAAAGATCACTTCTTGGCTTGACCAGAGATATTAACTTGGAGGCTTAAAGGGAGCAGTTCTTTTTTTGTTGTTTTTATGTTATTTTTCTTTCTTTCTTTCTTTCTTTTTCTCCCACTCTACCTGGCTTCACCTTAATACATCAACAAAAAGACCACACATTTCAGGCTAGCTCTTGGTGAGAAAAATACATGCTTAGATTTGAAGGATGGTTGTTTTTGTCGATAGCCAAGGGTTAACGCAAAGCCTTGAGCTCAGGGCTCGTACACGCTTGGAGGTTCGAAGAGGCTCCTACTCCCGGAAGCTGGGCCCAGTGGTGTTAGCACCTCATGACAGTTTCTACATCTCTTTTTAGAACCAAATCACAGGGAGGGGCTGGAGCTCAGCAGGCGGTGCCCACTAAATATAAAGAATGCCTTGGTTACTTTCCCTCCTCACTGCGGTGACATACATGAGTGGCAGAGGGGTTGAAACATTGCCACCTGGAAAAGCCCAAGGTTAAGTTCTAGGAAAGTCCAGAATGAGTGTCAAATAGCCCTTTACCCATGTGGACACCAAGGCATGATGACCTTGGAGATTCACCAGGAAAGGATCTGGATGGAACTAAGCTGAAGCTGTTTTCAGGTCTTTGCCCTCACAGAGACCACTTCTGGCTCCAGAGCACCGCAGCATCGTGTGCTTTCACTGTATTCCTCTTCCAGATAGTTCCAACAAGCCAGACTACCAGGTAGAGCCCCTCCCTGCGTCCTCCCTCTGGCAGAGTCTAAGCCAGCCCCCCATCACTCTGTGGGCTGCCCTCCCTCACACGTGCCCTACTTTGCACCGCTTGTCGTTTGGGGGCGAGAGGCCATATGCCTCCAAGCATCTCTCTGCAGACTGTCCTTCCTTCCAGTCACCCTCCGTCCTGGTACAGGGAGGCTCAAGACAGTGGGGCCTGAATGAGACAATTCATGAAAACAGCCCCTGGTTAGCTGCTAGGCTGGGGTTGAGGGCCCAGTAATCTCTCCAAGGGACTGTCCTTGCTAAACGCACAGCAGACAGCATGGACCGGCACTCCTGGCTTTTCTCTACCACCCTGACTGTACATCACATCTTCTCTGAGTCACCCCTTTGATCCTTGATCTTAGATCCACCCACGGAGTGGCTTCTCAGGGTTGCTAATGTCCACTTGGATCAAGATTTGCATCGTATCTCAGACGCCTTTAAAGAGTAGACTGAGAGCTTGAATGCACAGGGACATACCTGATTTTGGTCAAATGTTTTAGTCGAGTTTAGGCTGAGTTATTTCTAGGTTGTCTTTCTTTCTACATGTGAGGATCTTTGCATGGAGGATTGTATCACTTCGATGCAAAAGACTTTAATGTCATTTTCTTTTGTTCAGCTTTATTTTCCTTTATTTCAGGTATAATTGATGAGTAAAAGTATAAGATATTTAAAGTGTGCACCATGGTGATTTGATACCCATATACACTGTGGAAGGATTTCCCACCCTCTGTATCCAGGGTGAACATGTGCAGAGGCCCCCAGCTAAAGAGGGAGGTGAAAGATGAGAGGTCATCCCACTGCTGGCTTGTCAGCAGAACGGGCTCTGTGGATTGGCCTGAGAGCTTGAATTGGTGAATGAGGGTGTTTTCTGGGTCAGCCAGCAGAGCGGGGCTGGTGTCCAGCATTTCCACAGGTGGGTCCCAGCAGCAGGGATGCAGGTCTTAATGCCTTAGGTCGCTCCAGAGAGAGGAAGCCCTCTGGGCCAGCTTCCTGTAGTCTGAGTCATCAAGAGAGGTCAGTTATCAAAGGTCTGGGCTCCTCTGGTACGTGGAAACTTGCTCCCCAGTATTTCTAAGATGCACTGATAAATGCCAGTTAACTTTACATCTCAAACAGAACTTGGCTACCTGCATTCAGATTGTTGTAGGAGGGCCTATTTGTATCAGCCAGTTTTATACTAAAGCCTGCAGACTTTAACTAATTCGAGGATAGTCTGGTGGCCAAAGAAAGAAGGTTACTCTCCAAAAAGTGTTTATTGGCTTGGGACCTATGGCTCCACGGTACTGGCATACCCTGCTAAGACACGGTAGGGGTGCTGGCTCTCTTTGGGTCAGGGTTCCAATGTGACCATCACTCACATCCTTCCCCAGCCCCCCACTCAACCTATGGCAACTGACTTCCCAGCAGGCCAGAGGGGTGCACGTCTGGGGGCTGGGCTGTGGTCAGAACAGCATGGGGGCTGGGCCGGAAGTTCAGCCTCCTTCCCCTAAACCATCAGAGGGTAAAGTGAGTGTCTCTGGCTGCTCTCTGCCTTAACAGTGGCTTGTTTTTCATTTCTTTTAGAAGTCAAAACCACAGCTCTGACCCCTGGGAAAGGTTGGTATGCTTGCTTTCCAGGTAGCTGCTGCCTTGGTGGGCTGAGGTGCACAAGACTCTTTGCCTTCTTGCAAGATGCCTTTTCTTCTGCACTAACCCCAGGAGGCAGCCCGGTGGGAACCACCTGACCTTGGGCCGGCCCAGTGTCAATTCAGATTAACTGTCCCCAAGGACATCTGATTCTCCCCGGGGGGCCTCCCCTGCAGAAGTCTAACTTGTCTTTGCTGCCAGCACTAATGAGGACCTGTCCATGCCCCAAATAGCTCCATGTCTGGGCCCCTCTGTACCAGGCCCGCCTCTTTCCTTTGCACACGGATGCTCTAATGCAATGATCTTCTTAGACCTTGGCCCTGCATGCTGGCCTCTGCTTACCCTATTCTCTCTTTCTCTCTCTCTAACTTGGAGCTGGAAGGGAAGTGGCAGGAGGGAGGGGAAAGGGGAAGGAAGGGGGAGGTTCTTGGGTGAGTCACTTGGCTACAAATAAATTGCATCTTATTTGAGGCTTTCATTCCATCCAGATGTTTCCGATGGATAATTGACACTCATCACAGTTCTCCGGGACCCTAATGATCCTGGTGATTAGTCTCTTTAGGCCTCCAGAGCTCTATAATGAGATTGAGGCAATAAAGGCATTCCACGCAGAGTGGAAGCATGGCTGGATGAAGAGCAGAGACCTCATCTGTGTGGCCGAGTCACCAGGCAGGTGGGCTGCACTGTCGCTCTGGCCAGCAAGGGCTCTGAGAGGGCCTTGCTCCAGGAGCTTGGGATCCATACCTGCCTGGACCGCAGGTCCTCCTCTCATGGCAAGCTTCCTGTGCCGGTCAGTGTGCGAGGGCCTGTGTGCTCCCCACCTTGACTCGTGCCCCTGGACCTTGGGGAAGTCACTTAAGGTCTCCGAGGTTGAGTTTCCACACATTAGGGCGGGAGATAATAACCTTCATCTCCTACGTGAGGGGCTTTTTGGGGCCGGAACCCCTTTCCAGTTGCAGGCCCTCCACCTGGAATTTTAACCAATATGGCTTTACTTCTGTGAATATCTTCCCTCAACCACGAGAATTTTCAGTGACTTTTATTGGAAATAGTTCAAAATGGGGGGAAGGGTGTTCAGATGAGAAAATGGAGGTAAAGCCAGAGGCAAGGTAGGAGAGAATGTTTTGCTTTTTTCTTGGTTTGGTTTGTGGGTTTATTTCCAAGCAGAATCTTAAGAAGAAGAAAAACAGAGACAATGTAAGCATGGACATGTAGCACAGGTTACAATGTTCTGGTTCCTTCTTTCAACAAAGAAGGCCCCCTGTTGGGGGCCCAGCTAGGCACAGACCCTGCGCTTATGGAGCTCACAGCATAGGGGAAGAAATGCATGTGAGATACATAAAGATAACTGTAGGACAGGATGGTGCATATTTTAATAGTGGGATGTGTATAGTGCTGTGGAAGCAAACCAGAGTAAGTCAAGGAAGGCTGCCTGGAAGAGGTGACGGGCCAGAACAGAACCTGGAACAAGGAATGGGAGTGAGTCGGGTGAAGAGCATTTCAGGCAGAAGGTGCAAGGATGGGAATTAAATAAAATAGGCTGGAAGGTACACGGTCGTGTGCGCACACGTATGTGTGGTGCCCGCCTGCTGGTGGGGGCTGGGCGTGAGGCTAAGGAGGCAGATGGCAGGCAGACTAGGAAATGCAATGCGTGTCCTATGGAGCAGCTGGGAGCTTTTGTAAAGGCTGAAGGAATCCAATCCATCAGTGATCTGATCAGCTTGGAGTCACAGACACAGCAGCCTGGAGTTGACACAAGGAGTCAACCCAAGGGGTCCAGGCGCAGGTGGCGGAGAGCTGGTGCACATCCTCTGAGAGGATGTGAGGAGACCCCGCCTCCGGGTTTCTCCAGGGACCACCCCTGTTTCCTCCTGCAGGCAGCTGTGTCCAGGAGGGAGGCTGGGCGGGGCAAGGGGAGGGTGCTGGGGCGGCGAGGCCAGGCTGGAAGTGGTGTCCAGGGGAGTGACAGCCCCGCGGACCCACCTTGGCCAGGAGGGTGGCCGCGGAACATCACACAGGGAGGGCCCCCAGCACACCCAGCGGCCTTTTCCTTTCTTCTCTGGGAGGAGTTCTCTGACAGGGAGCCAGGCCCCCTCCCCACAGGCTTCCTGCATGCGTCCCAGGGCACGGGCGGAGCCGGAGCAGTACAGGCGAGCCGGAGCACCTGCCGCGCAAGGCCATTGCCAGGTTCCCCGGGCACTTTTGCCAGCTCCCAGCCGCCACCTGCGGGGCGTTGCAGACTCTGTGGCCGGCAGACAAGGTTCCTGACTTTTTTGAGCTGGTAATCAAGCCAGGCCCCTGCTGGGCTGTCTGCCTGGCTTGTGCATCCTCATCTTCCTCCCTGGAGACGTCCGCTGGCCGGGCAGCCCAGAGGGGTGGAAGGCGGCAGAGGCAGAGAGCATCTCCATGCGGGAACTGGCGACGTCCCCTTTCTCTTACCAGGAGTGGGGTTGGGAGGGCTGTGCTGGCGGGGAGTGGGGAGTGGGTTTCAGAGCTGTGTGAGCCAGTGTTCAGGAGAGAAAAGAGGTGAGAGAGGAGCCCTGTGTAAGCAGACGCGTGTCTGTCCAGGCGCCATGAGCCAGGCGTGCAGGATGCGTTTGGAATCGCGGAGCAGTGTGCACCTGGGGAGGGGTGCAGCCACCAACCCTCCCGTCACACTTGGAACCCAGCCGCTCCCAGGGACTCAGAACAACCTCGCTGTCTCAGAGTTGGCCTCGGGCAGAGGCAGGGCAGAGGAGGGATCCTGGAGTGGTCCAGAGAGGAAGGGCTTTCTCACAGGAGAGGAATAGATAACTCCTCACTCTAGAAGCCCTGGGGCCGGCTTCTCTCCGGAGATTCCAAAGACTGCTCTATATATAGCAGTGATTGAATATAAAGGCTAGAGTTTCTGGTGGTGGTTTATATAGAAACATAGTAGTTAGATTTCAGAAGATGCAACCAATTGAATGGTCAACGATAAGCAAATCTGAATGGTGCTTCGTAGGGATGCTCCTCTGTCCCGGGTATCCCAGTGGACGGACAGAAGGAGAGCGTTCAGCTTCGTGTTGCCCAGACGTTCACCACCCTGGCGGGGAGCAGAAGAGGCGTGTCTTGTCCTTCCCCTCAGGAGAACTTGCGCTGCCAAGAAGTTCAGGCCTTGGGAGCACTGCTGTCGGGGAGAAAGAGAATCTCTACCCTTCCCTGCTCTTCTTGCCGGTCTAAAAATTAAATCGACGTAAGACAGAGTAACAGGAGAAAATAAAGCAAAAATTTACTAATATGTGTACATGGAAGAGGCCTAGGAAAAGTGATTAACTCACCAAAATGTCCCAAACCCTCACCTTAAATACCACCTTCAGCTAAAGGCAAAAGAGGATGTTGGGGGACTTTCCCTGGTGGTGCAGTGGTTAAGACCCCACGCTCCCAATGCAGGGGGCCTGGGTTCAATCCCTGGTCAGGGAATAGATCCCACATGCATGCCGCAACTAGGAGTTCGCATGCTGCAACTAAGACCTGGTGCAACCAAATATTTTTTAAAAAAAGAAGATGTTGGGGGTAGGGGCTTAGGACTTCAGAGGGAGGGGAGGCAACTCACAGAGAGACGGAAAGGGGGATGTTTGGTAGACAGTGATTTCGGGGCCAGGCAGGGAGATGGACGCAGAGAGGAGCATAACTAACAGATTGTGCAGGTCCATCCCTGTCTCCACACCCTGTTCACACTGTAGTTACCTATGGTGACAGCTCCCTTCCTGGTACAGGTCGTCTTTCTACATTCTTCAGGTAGTAAGGGGGAAGGGCAGAGTTTCTTCCTAAGTCTTTTGGGCCTTGATTGCTTTCAGCTGGAAATAATCTGCATGCCAAAGAGACATTTTGGGGTGACAATTTTGCTCCCCTGCAGTTTGAACCAGGCACCAGAGACACAGAGATTGGATGACCTGGTGCATTTCAAACTCCTGTTTAGCCACTGATCCAAAATCAGATTTGTCCCCAAGGTCTAAGGAATAAATCACAGGGACAGTGCTTCCGGGCCAGGACTTCTAGGGCTTGGAATGATTCCATATGGAATCAAGAAGCCTGATTTGATGCTGATCTGCATTAGCCAGAAGTGTCTCCATGTCCAGCATCCAAGTCAGGCAAGCAGGTTCTGGCTTTATCCCTTCAACCTAGTGATGACATGGACTTGGTGGGGGGCGGGGGGCACCAGCTTTAAATGCCTCCGTTAAATCCAATGCAAGAGCTTTCCAGAGTGAGTCCAGTCTGAGAAGATGCCCTGCTTCATTAGGTGCCTAATTCATCTGGGCATCCAAACTTGTGTGTACTGTTCCTGAATCATAGCTCCATTTATCACGGGCGTTCATGGCCACGGGGCTGAGGGGGCCACAAAGCTTATGCTTCAAGTGACAGGGAAGCTGCTGGGGAATTTTATGACCTCATAGTTTTCCTGCCTCCCGAATGTGGCTCCACGTCAGAGTATCTGTGTGCAGGTCGGGCTGGTGTGTGCCTTTTAGGAAAATATGCCATCCATCTCGCGCGTTCTGCATCGCCACACCATGGCGCCTTCTGCATCGCAGGGTACGTGGAAATCTCCCCTTCCTCCTGTGTGCGCGGCCGGAGGCCGCCTGTCCCTTTGCTTCATCCCCCCCACCACGTCGGGCGCGCTGGTCTGGACCTTTCGAGCACGTGATGCTTCAGCGAGGTCTGCTGTTACCTGATCCAGATGGGGGAGAGGCCAAGTGCGCTGCCCTGGGACCGAGCGATGCACAGAAGGGGCACCGAGGCCAGTGCAGCAGCCGCAGGGGACAGTTGGTGTGTCCAGCGAGTCCTCTCCTGCGTGACAGGAGGGTCACGTGAATGTTTAAGGCGGGCAGTGCTCGGAGGGATTGGACGATGATGCAAATGGTGCAGGGGTCTCACTTTATTGAAGCTCTGTGTAAGGTGTTGATTAATCAGCCACCTTTTTCTTGAACTTGCCCCTGAGCCATGGCCTCAGCATGTTCTGACAGCAGAGGAGTAGCAGGCACCTGCACACTGTAACCTGAGGTCCCTCCTGCCCGGGTGGACGCCCCAACACGTAGCTGTGCCCATGGGATCAAGGCTAGCGCAGCCTCTGGGTATGGAGCTGGGATGCTGGATGCTCCCAGTTGGAGGGGCCCGGCTCACGACAGGTGTGTTGTGTCTGCAGGCCCGGGCGCCATCAGCGAAGTGAGCAATGGAACGTCGAGGAGGGCTGGCTGCGCTTGGCTGCTACCTCTTCTGGTTTTGGTTTTGCACCTGCTCCTCAAATTTTGATGTGAGTGCCACTTTCCCCGCCGGGGAGAAGCTGCCGTCACCACCACCACCAACACATCAGCCACGGCGACCAAGAGCAACGCGAGCATCCCCGTTCTAAAGCAGATACAGTCCCACGAGATTCAGAGCCTAAGGGGACACAAATTCGAGGGAGGGGAACAGAGAATACTTTGGGAAAACAGGTTGAACGAGGACATTGGAAATCGCCTTGCAGATACGTAGGTACAGCTGAGTTTTCTTTCTTTTTCCAAACGGGAAGAATGCACGCGGCTTTGGACCCACCCGCAAGCTGCATGGCGTGACCTCCGTTACCAGTCAGGCAAGGGCTCAGCCGCTCTGCCCACCACAGTGCCCCCCCCCCAAGGAAAGTTCTGGAGTCGGCCACCCCAGATTCAATCAGTCAGTAGAGAAGAACTCAGAGGGAGGCTTGCAGGCCCATTCCTGAACTGTGTCCCTATTGTGTGTGTGATGAAACGCAGCAACAAAAAGATAAATAAAAAGGAAAACTAAACAAGACAGCCTGTCAGCTACAATAATCCCACAATCAACAGTCACAAAAGATATTGTTAAACTTTTTTTTGTTTGTTTTCATTTTACTACCTGGACATCATAGATAACAAAGGATTCTGATTCATTATTAATTTTATTAATTATATTTTCTGATATGAGTCTAAAACTTAGTGCAAAAACAAGACAAAACTAAAAAAGTACACAAGTGAAAGGGGTGAAGAGAAGTATGTTTGTTAAACGTTAAACATGAATAGTATACTTCTTACCTAGGTTTACAACTGGTGGACAACACACCAGGCATTAGCCACCTGGTGAGGATTTGGCAAATCCACCAAAAAAATAAAATAAAAGTCCACACATACAGTTTAACCAACATCCCTACCAGCGCTACAGATTTCTTATTCTGGCATTTATTGCAGACAATACTACACTCCTACATGCTGTTTAGAAACGGAAGGGTGACCTGCACCATATCTTGAGTTTGCTGGCGATGCTTTTTTTGATGACATATATTATACAGTATATATATACATATATTTTTTTTTGTTGGGTTCTAGCCATTTCCTTTCGCAGCAGGGTCCTTTCTCAGACATTACTGCATGCTGTATATGGCGTTAGCTGTGTGTTGCTCTTCTAAAAGATGATAGAGTTTACTGGTAATTGTGTAATCAGCTCCTGCCTTTTTATTTTCTTGGGTTATTCACATGTCAGAGACATTTCTAAAAAGTGAAAAGAGAAACAAAACACTAACACAAGGCGCAGCATCTTTTCCAGGGGCCGCTCTCAGAGGCGAGGGCTAATGCGGGGGGCCTGGCTTCTCCGTCATGCCTCGGGCACGGACAGACAGCAAGCAGCCGGACCAACTCAGCAGTCAGTAACCACTCGCTGTAGCCCGTTATGGGAATCTCTGATGCCTTTGTGACCACTGGAGAATCAAATCCTCTTGGTTTATTTTATTTAATTTCCCACCTCTGTGTGCGTGTGTATGAAAGAGAAGAAAATGCAGTTTTTAGGTGATCTTTTCTTCCTCCCCCGAAGTCTGGGAACCAGAGGAGCCTCGGGGAGGGGTCGTGATGTGATGAGGGCAGGTGGGATTAGGGGCTGGGGGAGGGAGGGGTTGTCTCTGACTTGACATTAAAAAGTGTTCCGTGTGCCTCTTTACCTGGTGTGGTACCTCATTCTCAAGTGGCGGGGGAGGGGAGCAGAGCCTGCCTGGCTCAGGTGTGAAGGAGTGGAGGGGGGGTTGGGCTCCGGGTTCAGGCTACTGCTCTGTGGACCCCTCGTGGGTGGAGCGGGGCCCCCTGTGGAGCGGGCTCTGACGACAGGCAGGGCTTCGGGAAAGCACCTCCTCCTCCATCAGAAGCACAGAGGAGGGCCTCATGGTGACCCCACCTCCACGGCCTTCAGGAGGTCCTGCTGTGGCCACACACCTCCCCTCATAACCTGGGCAGATGGCAAGTCCAGTTAGGGGATGGCTTTCACGTGTGATTATTTCTGGAAGGCATTGGAGTGCAGCCATAGCCCAAAAAGGCCCTGTGGGTGAGTACGGATGAATCCCCAGTCCCATCCACCAGTGTTTGGGGGACTCTCTTCCATCCAAGCCTGCCCCCCAATCCTTGCCTCTAACTACAGATTAGGAGAAAAGGTACAGTTTAATGCAGAATAGTTTTCAACTAATTCTAACCTGTTCTGATTGATTCTGGGAATTAAATAAGTAGCTGAAGATTCACCGAGAGGCAGAAATGAGGTCAGAGCCGAATCACCCAGGGATTACCGTGCTTGTGTCCTTGGGGGCCAGTTCCACCTGAGAGGAGTAGGAAGTGTTTGGAAAGCAGTGGTTTAATTTTCAGCTGCTTCTGGCAGCACTGAGAAAATCTTGTTGACTTCGTGTTTCTTTTTATTTTATACATTCTTTGTTTAATTCTTTTCCATTATGGTTTATCACACGATACTGAATATAGTTCCCTGTGCTATATAGCGGGACCTTGTTGTTTATCCATTCTGTATGTAATACTTTGCATCTACCAACCCCAAACTCCCAGTCCATCCCTCTCCCTCCCCCCATCCCCTCCGTGTTTCTTTGTGCCCTTCCGCCCACACCACCAGGTGCCAGATTCTCTGGCTTCTTCCTGGCAGCGTGAACTGGAACAGTCGGACCAAGCCTTGCAGATCCGGGCTGCACTGGAGTCATTCCTTCCTTGTGTCTCAGAACTGCTAAAGGCAAGGGGCTCTGGGTCTCCTGTGAATAAAAGTGGGAGAGATTTACTAGCTTTCCTGTGACCGGAACTTCTATAGACACGGACCAGAGGAATTCCGTGCAGATCGTGGCTCACGGGAATAGAGGGAACAGAGTGGGAAGAACACAGGGAATTTCCATACTTCTAAACTTGAGCCCAGAACCCCCCTGAATGAAATGTACCAGGGCATCTGCAGACCGAGTCTTCCGGGATTTTGTCAGGACAAGAGCACAGAGTGAGGTAACCTCCATGTGATTCAGAGCTTTCTCTTTCAGGTTTACTGAGCATGCTTTAGTTCACCCGTCGGCATCCTCGCAGGAAGGACTGGTCTGTCCTGACCAACTGTGACATTGATGAGGAAGACTTCCTTTCACCTTTCACCTTTCACCTGTGCCAGTTCCATAGCCCTTCTTGTCTTGAGGCTCTTCGGAGCTCTGGTCATTCACTAGCACGTTTCTGGTAGAACCAGCCAGCCGTGACTGCTGACTCAGCAGGTAGGAGAACTCCCTGCCCGGCCTCTGGAGGGGTTTCTTCTCCTCTTCTGTTTAGTGCAACACATAAGCCCTGATCTGCTGAATTTCGATCTCTAAAGGGTGCCCATGAGACAGGGCCTTCAACCAGACTCAGAGTTCAATCCAGGAGGACATGGCTTTGATAGGCGCTCATAGGGGTGATTTCTAGGCTTCTCTTCTCAGGAAACGAGCTTGGCAAGACAAGTGCTCACTGGAGTGAGTAAAGAAAGCATCCTGAATAGCGTGTGCAGTTGTTTTTCATGGCACAGGTGCTAATGGATGACCATTACTATGGGCCGGACTGGATTTCAAACATACTGGACCCCTTGGGTCCAGTCAAGTCGCAGTCATACTTTAGGATTCAGCCACTACCTTTAACCTTAGGCTGTCCTTTGGCGAAACCATGCTTGAGGTTTTGCAGATTTTATCCCATAGTAATGTGTGTGTTGGGGGGAGTACTAGTGGGGAGGTTCAAGCCCTAAGCACACACTCCCAGAGAACCCCATTCATCTTCTTTCAACAGAGTATCTGTCCTTTCCCACGAGTGCAGCTGTTCTCAAGTTCCTACCATTAAGTCTTTCCCCATCAGCTCTTCTGCACAATCGGTTCAGGTGTCTGACTTGCAGCGTTGTAGTACTTGTCCAGGGACCGCCTTCTGATGAGTGGGACTCGCAGAACTGGAGCTATCTTTGCCATCGGTGATCCACAAATGTTCGCTTCTGTCACTGTGGATGGTGATAATGACGGTGATGATGGACAGTTCTTGTTCTTCACGCTGGAGGGAAGTTAGCAAATGAATTGACGCTGGAATCTGATGGAGGTTCAGCACATTTCACTGGACTGACCCCATCTTTATCTTATACCTCTGAACCGTGAGTTCGGAAGGGTAAGCAGTCACGCTAATCAATCACAGGATGGTCCCTCTAATGTGTGGGTTTGTTTGATAAAAAAAAATGTATCATCTGGGAACAGCAGAACGCCCACAATTTTGTTTATTCTTACGACGGTAAACATTTGAGGTACTTATCATTAGAGGAGAAAAATCTATGCAGAAGGAGAGAGGTGGCCAAGTGACAGCACCCAGCCCATGAGCCTGCAGGCTCTCCTGCTACTACTGACCAAATACATGTGCACATGACAGTCATCAGACAAACAGCTAAGAACTGAGATTGTATCTGTTGAATAATTCCTCTTTCAAGCGTTTTTAAAATTTTTTATTTTAAACCAAATCCTGGAACTAATTCAGTTGGGAGCTTGCTCTTCGGTGCTTGAGAGGATGGAGGCGTCTCATTTGTCATCCCCATAACTGCTGAGTCAGGCCATCCTAAAACATCAGTGCTCACCCCTCTTGGCTCTTAATACAGGCGGTATTTCCATGAGTGCCCAACTCCGTCTTCCTCCAAGACAAGACGTGCAAGTTAGCATCCCCATGATGTGTGAGTAACAGACATCTCTGAGGTCTCTGCACCTTCATCCTCACACTCCCCCTTCCCACAACCCCAGCTTCTCCCATCGCGTCCGTATCATGGCTTTCTGTAGAAAAGACTCCCTAATTCCTGAGCTTAAGTTAAGATTACTTCTTACAGTGTGTGTGTCTGATGCATTTTGGGGGCATGATCCCGTATGCAGGAGGCTTCGTTTGGCTTTAGTTGTTTGAATGTTGATTTTACGCCCATGCAAGCCTCCAGATAACCTAGATATGTGCTTCTGGCATATTGTGAAGGAATGTGAGTTGATTTCC